AAAAAAAAGCAGCTGAACACTTCTCACTGAAGTGTCTGCCCCAACATTACTTCTTTTGCAAATGAAGTATCTCACATCTCAGTTGAGCAGTTGCCAAATTTCAAAGCTTGTAAATACTTGAGCTGAGCATCAATAAAAAACCCCCATATGTTTAACAAACAGCAATGAGCTTCTATCACATCCCGAGTGGAAACTGTGTAGCCCTCCAGCTCTGTCTAGCATAGCCAATGGTGAGGAATGCTAGGAATGGTAGCCAAACATCTGGAAGGCTGTATGATTCCCCACTTTAAATTTACTCATTTACAAAACCAAATTGTGTGACATTGATTTCTTACTTTAAAATTTTGAAAATGCACTTTGTAATTTTAGACTTCCCTTCCTCTGCCATGGCACTGCACTGCTTGACTTTTTTTATATCTATGCCTCAAAACAGGATTTATGAGCTCTGCAAGGACTACCTGGATCTCTCCCAAAACGAGATTCTATGCTTGAAGGCAGCTAGTATGTGAATATGCTGAAAATTACTCACTGAAATAAAATATATGATTCCTCACATTTCATCTTGATGCTGCATAGACTCAGATTCCTTTCATGAATAAATAGCTTTCCGGAAGCCAACCTCAGACATAAAAATGCAATTTTTCCTTTACAGGAGTGGCCCAACGATTGAGGAGAGTGAGACAGTTGCCTCAGGTAGCAGATTTTGAGCATCATGAAAGGACAGCAAATCATTAGTCATTTAATTACTTATTACTGTGTTTTTACAATGCAGTATATTATATTGTAAGAACACAATAATTTTATTGCATGGGGTAGAAAGAGGTGCTTGTGGGATTTACTGCCTCAAATGTAAAGAAATAGTTTGATTGTCTTTGAGAACTGTGTACCTTCACTTGAACGGATGAGGTTGGGACATTATTTTCTGCTCTGCCTCAAGCAGCAAAATGTTTTGGGCTGGACTTTTATTCTTGATTTATTACTTTCAGCCCCTCCAAAAAATAAATGTATCATATTTCCCACTGCTGTGACCTTGAGATTATTGTTTTCATGGAACATCCTGCTTTATAAACTCAAGAAGCTCTCCAAACTGATTAAGAAAACACAAGCTCAATCCAGGTGCTCTTTTAGTGTTAATTTGGACACAGAGGGAGAGTGTGCTACCTCTGGCCCTTCCATTGTCACTGTCTGTTTAAAAAGTGACAGTCTTGGGCAGCTAATCTGATCTAAGTCTGAAGGTTGTCTATGCCAAGGGAAGCCTGAAAAATCAGGTTTGTCAACCATGTGGAAAGCCTCCACATATAGAGGACACTCTTCTTCAAAAACAGAGAACAACAGTAGACAGGGAGAAGCCAACTTGCTTTCCTTCCATACATGTCCTGATTAACTTTTTTTAAAAAGCACCACTATCAAATGACTAAGTTTTTGAACTTCTTGTATGCCTTTAAGTTGTTTCTGACATATGGCAACCCTAAGGCAACCCTATCATGGGATTTCTTCACAAGATTTGTTCATTTGCCATTGCACTCCTCTGAGGCTAAGAGGCAATGGACCTTATCACACGCTGGCCATGAAGCGAAAAGTAACCGAAATAA